GTACAAAAAAAATGTACCAATAAAAGAACAAAAAAAAAAAAAATAATAATAATATTAAAAAAAAACCTGCCAAGGCAAATAAACTTTAGGCTTAGTTGATCCCAGAACAATAATAACTTATTTTGTAAATTAAGGAGGAAATACATATTCAAGGAAATCCATTCTAAAAGTATATTTTCATGAGTTTTACCAGGACCCTCAAATGCCTTCATCCACTTACAATATTTTCTACATCTTTACCAAATAATTTTGATAAATCTGTTTCTCAAAGCAATGCCTTACAATTGATACCACTGTCTAAAGCATACAGGTCCACTTCTCAGTTATGGTATTTTTGAAGTTATACAAAAATAAAGTATTGTACTAGTTAGGGTCAAGAGAATAAAGCATGCTAATCGTGCTTTTTTTTTCAGCCCTAAAATTCTCTTTGTATGTTAAAAAAATGCTGAATCATGAAATAAAGGAAACAAAGAAAAGAACCCAAACAAGTAGTTCATCTCATAGTTCAAATTTCCTAATTAGGATATCTTGGTCTTGCTAAGGATTTAGAACTAAATAAAGAGTCTACTAAAAAGAAGGAGCTCATTCTAAACTGAACTCCAGGATAAAACTAAAAGCATTTATTTCTGCGTGTTATTACACTTTTCACTTCCTGCTTTAGACAGCTCATCATGACCATTTCAGGTAACAAGCCAGAAGTTTAAAAAAAATCAACTTCCTCTTCATAAAGATATAAAAACTTTTGCAGTTACTTATGAGGATGGATGATTTTATAGTTTTTATGGAAATGCCTGCAAGGTTCAGAGACCACTATTATCAAATTTACCACAGCCTCACTGTCTTCTGAAAATGTATCAAAGTTGAAAAGCAACATTAAAAAATATTTGGTATCATGGCATACATGCCTTAGAAAAACCCAAGCAGCTGGGCGTGGTGGGGAATGCCATATAACCTGGAACTACAAAGGGTGAGGCAGGAGGATCCAGAGTTAGGAGGCCAGGCTGGGTAACACAATGAGACTCAAAAAAATAGACCCACTCAAAACAAAAGAAAGGCAAAAAAGAAAAAAAAAAGGAAAGAAATTTATTTTAGATTTCCTTCAAGAATTCAAAACACAAACTGAGGCTCAAAATATTTTGATTTTTAAAGTTACTTTATTGTGAACATCTTATAGGACAAAAATCTCATTTAAGGGTTACTACTACTTATGACAACTAAGATATATCAACTAGTTCTGTTGGAAAAATATTTTGTCAATCCTTAAATTCATTTAAAAGGAATCTGAAGGCTACAAGACAGGGGTAAGGTAGGTATGAAGCTGAAGGAAAACTCAAATACTGTATCTTACAAGTCAAAGCCCGTTCTTTTTACTCAACAGATTCACAGAGATACAAATAGGTTTCATCTCAGAATAGGAACGTAAGACAATGAAGACAATCTAAAAACTCTTTAGTAAGTATGAATAAAATTCATTAATACTTTTTGGCAGATTTACCTTACTAATTATGATTTATTATGTCACTGAAATTAAGCAACAAAAGAAATGTGCTAGAAGAAACATCACAGATCTGTTATAAAATCAAGGCATTAGCCAGTATTAATTCAAACACTGTCAATGTCCAAAGACATCTTAATTTGCACTTTGAAATACATATATATTTTCCCAATTTAGAAAAAAAGGCATTCCAATCCAATAACAAAGACAAAAACCCAACAACACTGGTAAAATGGTAAATGTGTATCACATGGACACTATAAACTTAAAATTTATTTTTACCTTTTTTTTTTCTTTTCTGGTACTGGGTAAACACAGGGGTGCTCTACCACTGAGCTACTGTTCAATTTTTTAAATTTTGAGAGAGTCTTGCTAAGTTATCCAGGCTGGCCTTGAATTCGATATTGCCTCAGCCTCTGGACTGGAGGGATTTTAGGTATGGACCACCACATGCAGTTTTACCTAATTTCTTTGTGAAATGTTGTAACAGTATTTTGGTTTCAAATAAATGGACAATCAATTGGGCTAATAAGTATTTTATCTCAGGATTTTCACTGTAATTTATCTGAATCTTAACTATTTACCTTAGAATAAACACTTTTTATAGTTTTCTTTCCAGCATAAGTTCATACATCTTTTTTTCTCCTAAACGTTCAACATTTGTGAGAGTCAACTTCCAAATTAGCGAAAACCTAATGTTAATGTGTTGTTCAATGGTTTTTAAGGGTAGAGAGCATCTTCTTCATCAAAATGGCATGCCACATGTAGGTATGTCAAATTATTCTGCAAGGGCCAGGGATTTAGCTCAGTGGTTCCACCGCCTGTTCCGCAGGCTCAAGGACCAGAGTTCAATCCCCAGTACCAAAAAAAAAAAAAAATTTCTGCAAAATGTGTTCCTTGTTGATTAATAGCCCCTTTTTCCACCCCCATTTTTTTTTTTTGAGACAGGGTCTCACGCTGTAATTCAGGCTGGCCTCAAACTCCCACAATCCTCCTGCCTCAGCCTCCCATGCGCTGGAATTACAGGCGTGTGCTACCACACCTGGCTCCCAACCTATTTTTATTACAATAAAAAGAATCCAGATAGATTTGCAGAATATTGAAGGATGTACACTTTGCAACATCCACGGTAGGAAACCAAAGACATTAATTTTTGTCCTATAAAGAATATCTGGTGAAAATAATTTTTATAGGCCCTAAAATGCTGTATTTACTGAAAAGCTTGACCAACTTTTTAAAAAGTGTGCAGCTGTCAGGAAAATAGTTATCCCATCTAACTCAAACATGCTCTTGTATTTAAGCCCTTTTGAAGTACACAAATTGCATGCTGATAGATGCAACTGTAATCAAAGACACCACCGTTGGGCATCAAAGAAAGCAAGCTGCTTTTTTTTTTTGTCCAGACCCGAACGTGTTAACATGGTAAGTATATGCTATACAAAACCTGGAGATGAAAAAAAAAAAATCCACTGGCTATTCCGAATTTCTTAACAAGAAGGCTTAAAGTGTTTTTCAAAAAAATATTAAGACAAGGTAAGACGCTAGAGACGGAGTCACCTGGAGGCCCATGTACCTACAAAGGAGCACCTGCAGAAGAGTGGTGCAAATGCTGACGCTTACACCTTTATTACGGCCAACTAGTTTAACCGACAGAACGTAAGAAAAGTGGATGTGCAGTAAGGTGAACATGTGGGGACCTCTCCCTGTCGAGCAGTCGTGACAGAAAGATCACTTCCTGATGAAGGAGGAGCAAAAGGAAAGTTCAGAGGCTACCCAGACCAGGAAGTGACTCGCCCTAAACTGGCCCCAAACACACCTAAAAATGGGTGGGGGGAGGGCGAGAGCCCCAACAGCCTAAGGGCGGTCAAATAACTGCTGCTTAATAAGTCTCGACATCACCATTGCCCCATCTTAAAATTACAGAAGAGTCTACAGTCAAGATTCTATAAGGGAAAAGTCTCTTCTCCCGCAGGAAGGCTGTGCCTCAGACCCAGAAGGAAAAGAACCGACTTGAGAATGGAGAACGGGGGCCACCGTGAGGCAGAGGAAAGCCCCTTAAGAGGGAAGTGTCCCGACTGCAGAAAACGTATGCCATCTCCAGCAAGAACCTCCTTTTTCCTGAGGACACGGCCAGGCTTCCATACGCAGCTGGATCAGACCCTTGTTCCCTGTCGCGGGAGGAGGTGAGAGAGAGGCAGGGGGACCCCCTTACCTTCTCCTCATCCGATACCCGATCTTCGAAGTCCGCCATCTTGGGCTGCTCTGGCTCAGCCCGGCAGCGCGCGCGAGGCAGGCCGGGAAGGAAGCTGAGTGATGGAATCTGCGTCGGAAGGACCCGCCCGGAAACGCCGACCGCGATGGCGCCATGTCAGTAAGGCGCGCCGGGGTGACGGTTTCGAGGTCCCGCGCCCCAGGAAGTCAGCTTTCCCTTCAGAGAATTATGTTTCCCTGAGTTACAGTCACTTACCATTTCATCTGTTGGATGTTTGTTGCGTGTTTGCACTAGTCGTGGATCTGGGTTCCATCCAGTCAAAAAGCTATTGCTACTTCTCTAAATTTTCCTGGTACCAGTAATTTCCATGGCAGCCGAGTCCAAAGTGCTAAATGCTGCTCAGCCCCTGAACGACCGACATCTTTGCTAATTTGGGGAATAGGGTGAAAGGTGACCTCAACTTGTATAGAAGCAAAACCACTTCCCTTCAGCGTCACATCTTAGTCCAGATCCTATAGAATAGGTGCCGCTATCAACCCCCCACCCCCGCCCCGAAGGAGTAGTTTTGTCGCTGTCTTGGGACTTGCTCCACCACTTTCTAGATCTTGGCGGTGGGGTTGCCCAGAAATCAGCCTTTACAGGGCCAACTTCAAGCCCGTCGCTATCCCAGGATTCCCGACTCCCGGTTTCCTGCCGCTCTCCCCTCCCAGCTGACGGCGCCTGCAAGATGGCGGACAGGAACTACTTCGGTGAAGCCGCAGCTGCCGCAGCATTTTCTTCTGCACCTGTTCGAGGTCTAAGCCCGCCGCTGGGCTGGAAGGAGCGTCTGCGGGCCGGGCTGGCAGGGGCTGGGGCCTCACTGTGGTTCGTGGCGGGGCTGGGGCTACTTTACGCTTTGAGAGTCCCGCTGAGGCTGTGTGAGCACTTGGCAGCGGGTGAGAGGCCCAGACTTCCCGGGACGGGCGGGGGCCCCGGGAGAGGTACTGGGGGACGAGCGCCAACGGGCGGAGAGTTTCAGGAACCCTGGAGGGCTTGGAAGAGTCGGTGTTATGCGAATCCGTGTGGTCTTTTTTTTCTTAGGCCACAACCCCGCAGCTGATTGTCAAACCTGAAATGCAGCTAACGGCTCCTCCCTAGACCTCTTAAGATCCGCCCTCTCTGAGCTGTCCTGGTTTACCCCCAGGAAATGCCGCCTGATAAACTATAGGTTTCCGGTGGTAGGAGAAAGAAAAGAGCTTTCTCAGACTTGAATACAGAATCTATATGCACTTTCACCTTTTGTAGGGTCCCTTGAAAATCGTTCCTGCTTAGCTAAGAGAAACCTACACCTAAGACAACAAAGCCGTATTCATCAGCAATACAGCGATCTCAGAAAATGCCATGATCTTAGCGTACCATTTCCTTGTTTTAAAATAGTTCTGTTAAGAAATATGTAGTATTGTGATTTTTTGTCGGTGTTTTTAGGCTTCATCTTAAGTAATAAATTGGATCATTGTAGGATAGAGAAGGAGGAGAGAAAAAGCAGTGGCCTTGCACATGTTATGTAGTCTGGGCTAAAGATACAAAGACGTGTCGGAAGTGTTGATTCTCACGGGTTCTACAAATACTATTATTTTTTAGTTTTAGACAGGATGAAGTGGATGGGACCCAAGGCCTCTTACAGTCTTATTACATTTCTTTCACTCGTGCTCTGCAGCCTCAGAACAAGATGGAAGTATTTTTGTGGAGTGATCACTTTGATCAGTGCAGTGGTTAATTTTTCTGTAGCGAGAAAGGCAAATACCACCTTTTCTATTCCATGAGATGATGTGAAATACTGAGATAATATTCTTTTTTGTTGTTGTTTTGTTTTGTTTTTTTGGTACCAGGGATCAAACTCGGGTTGTTGGGCTTGCGCAGCAGGCGGCAAAACCACTGAGCTAAATCCCCAGCTCTGAGAGAATATTTTGGAATACTTTAGAGTTTTTAGAAGGCAGATGCAATGTAAACTCTGATTTAATTAGCATACTAAAACAAGCTAAAGAACTAATTTGGTGTCTAACAGGTGAATGAAGTGCTTAACGGTAGTTTGTATGCTCAGCAAAATGTTACTGAGTTTTTAAAAAATTTTCTACATTTTAACTAGATACACCACTTAGGTGAGAGTAGTTGACTACTAAACGTTTTCATTACTTTTAAAATCCAAAGTACTAATGAGACAGTTTTTTGAAGTGAAGAATCTGATCCAGGATTTTAGTAAAACAGATGTAGGGAGCTCCCAGTTTGTAACTTTTCTTTTACTGCTGGTATTTTGCCTCCTTAGCTGATTTACCAGAAGCTCATATTGTTTCCTTTCCCATTTGAAACATTGGTTTGTATTTTATCAAAGTAATTGAAGTGTTTTTAAAACCTCCTTTTATTTAACTTAGAGTTTTGCAAAAATTCTAGTCGAAATTATGACGTATAAGTGCTTTAGGTTTTATGTTCAAAGGCAAGCTAAATGACCTCAATTTTCTTTTCTTTCTTTTTTTTCCTGCTTTTTTGGTGTTAGGGATGGAATCTAGGGCCTTGCACATACTAAGATTCATTTTATTTTTATTTAAACATTTATTTATTTATTTATTTTGTGATGTTGGGGATTGAAACAAGGACCTCATGCCTGTTAGGCAAGCACTCTAACCACTGAGTTACATCCCCACCTCAGCCTACCCTAAGCCTCATTTTAATTTGCATCTTACTTAACTAACCAACAGTATGAAATCCTATTTTTACATATGTGAAAGCATTTTTTTTTTTTTTTTTTTTTGGTACCAGGGATCAAACTTGGGTCTTTGCTCTTGCTTAGCAGGCGGATGTGAAAGCATTTTTAAGATATGATACAAAAGAAAGATATGATACAATGAGAATTTTATACTGGGGATCGAACTTGGGACCTTGGACTTGCAAGGCAGGCAGCAGCAGCACTGAGCTAAGTCCCCGTCCCATATAGTAGTTTTTATAGGATTTTTTGTTTTGTTTTGTTACTGGGGATCAAACTCGGGTCCTTGCAAGGCAGGCGGCATAACCACTGAGGTAAATCCCTGGGCCCCCATACAGCAGTTTTTAAAATTACACCTTTGAATGAATTTTCATAAGATGGCTCAATTTACACTTTTTCAACTTTACAGTGGTACAAAAACCATATGCAATCAGTAGAAATTTTGAATTTTGCTCTTTTTGTAGATTAGCAGTACACTGACCAACCCTGGGCAGTCAGGTACACAATCTGGAGTATAAACAATACAGTGTACTACATTTTGAAGCTATGATATTTGGAAAGTTTGGGATATCATGTGCACTTTCAATTTATACTATTTTCGATTTTCAAAGGGTTTATCAGAATCTACCCTCACTGTAAGTTGAGGAGCATCTGTACTACTTATGTCCCTCCACTCGAAGATACATACAGTTTAATAATTTAAGCACTTTCAATTTGTGTTTTTTTAAAACTTTGATGTTTTTTCTTTTAACAGTGACAGGATTTTTAAATTCACTGACACCCAAATTCTATGTGGCACTTACAGGGACATCTTCTTTGATATCAGGACTGATATTTGTAAGTAGTTTACATTTTTTAAGTTGATGTTTTAATATTTATCCAGCGGTCCTTTATATGGTTACAATAATTTATTTATATATCAGCATTTCCAAAATGTGTTAGACATTTGAAAAAGAATTACCTAGTCAAACAAGTTTGGGGAACAGTACATCTCTCTCTACTTTTAGAGATTGGCAGTATTTGTTGCATATTAAAGTCTTGTATACTGTAATCAGGAATGGGTTAGAAATTTAATGCCTGAAGGTCCTTGGTTAGTAACAAAAAAGTGAGTGAAAAGAGAAGAATATAAGAATAAATTCATCATTTGCTTTGAGAACTGGATAATCTGAAAAGTGCATACCCCTTCTAAAAGGGGGTAAAGCTAATTGATGCCATGTAAACCTATGACTATATTACCAGGTGTTCTAATTTTTCAGATCCTTTCAAGAGAACCTGGATGTATAGATTGTATGTAAAATCTCCCAATAGTTTAATTTTAGCAACATTGGACAGATGAAAATTTGTATGTCTGGAATTTGGTCTGCAATTTTTCCAAGCCCCAATTTCTCTTCTAAATAGGAAAATAATAGTATCATTTTGAACAATTACAATAACTAAATGAGATAATATATGTAAAAGTTTATAACATGGTAGCTGGGTCAGCGAGCACTTAATGAATTTTTGGCCATTATTATTTAGAGAATCCTACAGTATGGAAACATTTAATTCAGCCTTTCCTTGAACAAGATAACATTTTAAAATATTAAAAAAATTTTATAATCCCCATTAACATCCCTAGCATCTAGAGTTTCCTAGTATACTTTTTGGAAAAAAAGGTTGCTACAAATACAAATCTTAAGTAGTATTCCACGTATGTCAGTGGATTTTTCTGTTCTTTTTTCTCATCTGTAGGTGGTGCTCTCCATCTTCAGTAAAAATAATAGTATTTGTGTTGGACTTTGTTTTCTAAACAGGTACTAATGCTGAGCATTTTGTTAAAGTGAAATGTAAAAGAAAGGGATTTTTCTCTTAAAAAACTATTGAGGAATTCAGACTAAAAAATGTTAATGTGAGCCTCACAATTTATTGCTTTATAAAGTCTACTGATAGTTAAGCATATCTTAGCATATTTAATCAATAGCATATATTTAAAATCTAAAGAAAATAAACTAAGTAGGGTGTGGTGGTGCTTACCTGTAATCCCAGCACTGTAGGTGACTGAGGCATAAGGATAGCAAGTTTGAGCCCAGCCTACACAATTTAGTGAGACCCTGTCTCAAAAGTTTAAAAAATATATAAATAAATAAATTAAAAGGCCTGGAGATGTAGCTCAGTGCAGAGACCCTGGGTGCAATCCCCAGTACATGGGGGAAGGGGGAAGAGATCAGTATTTGTAAACAGTTTAAATAGGGGGAAAGCACTGGCTTTGGAACCAGAAGATATGATTTTGAGTTGTTGACTGACAGCGTTGGGCAACTCACATAAACTGTCTAAATCCTAATTTCCTCATTCATAAAAATGGGATAACATGCATTTATATATATCAATAGATACATGATATCTAAAACTGGTTTAAAAATTTGTTTCTTTTTAGACAAGGGTTTCAATATACAAAAATTCAGAAATTCAAGTAATGTTTTAAAGGTTAAACTATCATTACCTTTGCAGTATTGATAGGTTTTTATTAGCAAAAATTGTTGCATTTATAATTTTTTTGCTACCTGAATATAGGGAACACGCACACTTACATACATATACATATACATATACTCTGACATATATTTGAGAAATATGGTTAGAAGCTCTGAAGTTAGATAAACTGAATAAGAAACTCACCTCTGCACCTGACCAGTGATATGAACTAGAGCTAGTTATTTAAATTTGGAATATATTCCTCCTCTCCAAAATCAGCTGTTGTGAGGATTAAATGACATAATGCATGTACAAGACTTGGCATAATGGTTGGCTCATAGAAATATTTTTTGGGGGGAGGACTGAAGCCAGACTTCATACATGCTAGGCAAACACTACCAGAGAGCTACTTCTCCAGCCCTTTTCAAAATTTTATTTTGAGACAGGATCTCGTTAGGTTGCCCGCATTGGCCTTAAACTTGTGATCTTCTTAGCTCAGCCTCCTGAGTACTTGGGATTATAGGCATACACATGACACCCAGCTCATAGAGAACTTTTGATAAATATTAGCTATTTATTATTTTTGTGTGTATGTGTGGTACTGGGGATTGAACCCAGGGCTTGCACATGCTAGGCAAATGTTCTACCATGGAGCTATGTCTCCAGTTCAGCAATTATCATTATTGTTTATTTGTGTTAAAAAGTTGATTTAAAAGATCCAAAGGCTCTTATTAATAAAAACCACCTGCGTTTCATATAGCGAAGAGCAGTTTGTTATTGTTTTCCTCTGATTACATACAAGTCCTTGACAGTATTTCTCCTTTTTAAAGGAAAAAAAGTGCTAGGGATTGAACCTAGAACCTCTAGTACTAGGCAAGCACTCTACCACTGTATCTTTTTTTTTTTTTTCCAAGATTTGTCCAATGTAAATCTTTTCTGCCGCATGAAATTTCATACCTTAGGCTGGGCGAGTGGTTGATAGATTGGCTACCATGTGTGACACTCTTGGGTTGAATTCCCCATATCCACCCCCCACACACAGAAAAACGTAAAGAAGTTTTACCACGTTTCACAGTAAAACATCTAGTAGAAGCCGAACCATGACTGCATTTGGGATTAATTGCTTGTTAACTCAGGAAGAGTGAGCAGAAAAGGAAGCCATTTTTAGACTGAGCATAAAATGTTAGTGTCACAATAGGAAAAAGAGCAGTACTTTGTATTTCAAGCACTTTCTTATAAATATTGTAGCATTTAGTCATTGGGCCACAATATTATACAAAATGACTGCATACTTTTGGCACCTGTTTGGCAGATTTATTCTATAATTTACTCAAGCAAAAATACTTCTAGAGGTTTGAAAATTCTGTATTTTTGTGTGTGTTTGTGTGTTGCTGTGTGGTCATAGTAAAACAATTTTTTAAAGTATTAAAATTTCTTAAGTATGAGTACGTGTCTATTTGTTAAATAAAAGATTACATTTGTCTACTACATTTGTCAGGAGAATTGTATGTTAGTGGACTTCTTGGAAAATGGTCCATAAATTTTCTGATGTGTTCATTTACCAAATAACGTAACCATAAAGAGCTTTTTCTATGTCAGACATTATTCTAGAAGTTGGGAATACCGGTAAGCAGACAGATTCTGCTCTTACAAAATTTAGTCTAGAAGGTGATTATAGACGTTGATTCATTCATTTGACAATTTGTATTGAGTACTGCTGTTCTAAGGCATCACTGTTCTAAGGCACTGGGCGTGTAGCAGTGAATAAAACTAACAAATTCCTGTCCTCATGGAGTTTACATTATATCAGGGGAATAAATAATAAAAAATAATAAAACTAATATGTTCTTATTACTAGTAACAAGAAACACATGAAGCAGAAAAGGGCATATGAATTGTCAGGGAAAATTCTTGTGCTGCGTGTGTCACTTCTTTGTCAAGAGGGAGTTTGCTTGGGGGGGTTGAAGAACTGAGCGACGATTATCCTAAGTTACAAGATTACTATGAAAGGGAAGCAAGATCCAGTGGAAGCACATAACACAGCTATCAGTTCTGTTCTGTGGATTTAGGAAAAGTTCCCTTGAGGAAGTGGTTTAAGCTGAAATACAAAGGTGCCTGGCATAAACAGTTGAGAAGGGTTGAAGTGTAGAAGTATGAAAATTTCTCCTAATTCCACATAGAGGGCTACTTTTGGTTCCTCTGTATCGGTCAGCTTTTTGTCAGTAGAACCAAATACCTGACACACAGAACTTAAAGGAATAAGGGTTTATTTTTGCTGGTTTTTCAGATGTTTCAGTCCATGATTGCTGGCTCTAAGGCAGAAACATCATGGTGAAAGTGCATGGTGAAGCCAAGCTGCTCAGTTCCTGTTGGCTGGGAAGCAGAGCAGGGAACAGTGACAAAGAAGAGGGGGCTAGGAGTCAATATAGACCCCAAGGTCATGAATACATAGCCCACCCAGACACCCCCAGAAATGTGCTTTACTGTCCCACTACCTGGCTCCCAAGCCAATCAGGTTGATAGTTAAGCTTAACTATTGCTCTTTTATAAGTGATAAATCATGAAAACACAAAAGAAATGAATATTTTGATTTTTAGGTAGTTCAATGTGAGAAGCAAACTGTCTTAAGTTACATCAATAATGTTACCAAATACAACTAGAGTAGTACTTTTTGGTTCAAAAAGCACTTTCTTATAACTTGTTAACCCCATTTAATAGAAACATGGAGACTCTGAGATGTTAAAAGTAACTTGTTCAAAGCATGCAGTAAATAAATTATTGGCTTGAGCCGGGGATTTAGCTCAGTGGTTCCGCCGCCTGCCCCACAAGCGCAAAGACCCAAGTTCGATCCCTGGTACCAAAAAAAAAAAAATTATTCACTTAGGAGTCAAACTTGGGCATTCTGATCCTAGTTCAGAGCTTAATTTACTACACTAATTATTTAAAAATAGATTTTAGGGGCCAGGGATTTAGCTCAGTGGTTCCACCTGCCTCGCAAGCACAAGGTCCCGAGTTCAATTCCCGGTACCAGAAAAAGGAAAGAAATAAAAATAGATTTTAATTGCGCTACAGATAAAATAAAATGACAGTGGAACATAACACTTAAACTGTTTACAGATTAAATACTTCTTATTGTTTTTACATACTTTATTACAAATGTATAGCTTTGCCTAAGTTTGTCAAAAATCTTATAAAAGTATTTCACTCCTAACATGACGTGTTATTGGGGAATTTTGGGTTTGTTTTAAGGGGAAGATAATGCATTTAAAATTCTGAATTGAACAGGAAAATCTTTTTTTTAATGTATTTTTTATTTGTGCCTATTAATTTTACAAAATATTGTGTTTTGATGTGGTATTTTCCTACATGCATGGAACATATTTTCATCATACCCATCCTCCCTATAACCCTTCTTTTTAACCCATCCCTTTATTTCCTTTCTCTTGTCTCATACTTGTCTGAACAAGAATATCTTGAGAGAATGTTTTGAGTTCATATATCTGCTGATAAACTCTGTTTTAAGTGCAAGGTATTTTCTCTTTGTCATAGATATTTGAGTGGTGGTACTTCCATAAGCATGGCACATCTTTTATTGAGCAAGTATCTATAAACCATTTGCGACCACTGATGGGAGGAACAGAAAGCAGCATCTCAGAGCCAGGTTCTCCCAGCAACAGAGAATGTGAAACCAGCAGACAGAATTTGTCAGGTGATTTTTCAGTGTGTTTTCAGAGCTGTATTTTTAAGATTGAGTTTGACTATGGAAGATAAACTCAAAACAACACAGTTCTATGGTCTGACTATTTGTGTACCCCCTTGTTCATATATTAAAAAAACTAATCATTAGTGTGAAGATGTTAGGAGGTAAGGTCTTTGGGAGACTATCAAATCATGGGGATAGAAGCTCAAGAGTTGTGGATATAAATGCTGAACATGGGAGTATTATTAATGTAGGTTGAGACAGGTTTATTTCCAGATTGAACTATTTAAAAATCAAGATATTCACTTTATGTTTCCATGGTTTATCAGTTATAAAAAGGGGAAGCAAAAAAAGCTTTCTATGCTGAATTAGTGAATGGGATAATGTCCTTATAAAAGAGATTGCGGGGAGCTGTTTGCCTTTTCCACCCTGTGAGCACATAGCAAGAGGGTGCCATTTATACACTAGAAAGTGAATCCTCACCTACAGTGGATCTGCCAGCACCTTGATCATGGATTTCCCAGCCTCCAAAACTGTGAGAAATAAATTTCTCTTTTTTTTTCAGGATAGCAGTAATTTTTAATTTAATGGGTCCTGTCAAACAGCAGTCTAAAATGGTTATGCCTGCTTGCACTTGTTATCAATATGAGTACCTACAGAGAATGGAAGAAAAAAAATGGAAACAAAGCTTGTGTAAATGGGGAGGGGAAGAAGGATTGAAGGGAGGGAGAGGAATGAGAAAAGAAAAGAAGAATTAAGATATATTATGTGCAGGAACAACTTTCCTATGATGAATATGATCAATATGTATGACAAATATGTATTAATGAAAAATAAAGTTAAAAAATTAAAAAACAAACAAACATGAGTAACCATTTCCCCATACCCTTGAATGCTGGAAAATCTTCTGATCAATTGCTTCTCATTTAAAGGAGCAAAGTAACTTGCACAGAAAGCTATAATTTTATTTTCTTTTTACTTTTTTGATACCGGGGATTGAACTCAGATCCTTGTGCTTGCGCAGCTGTCGGCAAAACCACTGATCTAAATCCCTGGCCCCTAGTTTTATAGTATTTAGATTCTGCCTGCTATTTTAGAATTCAGGATCAAGTCCAAATCCTTTGAAATGCCATATAAGGCCCTCTCTCAGATGAGGGTATATGCTGTATCTCCCCATGAATTTTCCTATGTTTTACTCATAAAAATGTCCTGGCAGCCCTCTGAACAGGTCAAATACAGTCACACCATGTGACCATATGCCTCCAGGCAAACAAAAACCCTGGAGTACTCATGACCCCCTTTTCTACAGTAAGAGACCATCCATATTTCCACCTGGATCCTTGGACTGGAGACTTCCCCAGCCTCTCTTGCAGCTAGAACTTGTAGCCAATGGGATAAGAGTGTAAATGATTCACACATCCTTCTGGGTTTCTCCTATAAAAGGGAAGCCACATTCTCTGTTTGTTTGTTTGTTTGTTTTCATTTTGTTTTTTTGAGACAGGGTCCCACTATGTAATCTGGGCTGTCCTTGAACTCACTCTGTAGCCCAGTCTGGCCTAGATCTTGCAGTGATCCTCCCAAGTGCTACCATTACAGGTGGGCACCACTACACCCAACTTATTTTATGGAGTTTATTCGTTTGTATGTTTTTCTCTTCTATATAAGTGTCTTGAGGACAGGAACATACCTTAATAAGTACCTAGCATAAACTTAATAAAGATTTGTTGAGTAAATCAAATCATGTAAACAACCATTGGAGCACCTGATTTATAAAAAGATGCAACAAATTTTAAAGTAGACAAATTACCATTTTCAAAAAGCATCAAAAAGTGAATGTATTTAACCATATTTGGCTGATAATAGAGCAAATAGGTGAATAGTGAATAATAATTCGTGCTATAGCATGTTCAATGAACTGAAAACAGAAAGTTGGTCCAAGGAAGGCAAAGGAATTTTTGTCTTGTAATAATTAGAACTGAGGGGCTCCATAGTCATCTGGCATCTGCTCAATGTTGTATCTGGGGTTAGAAGTGTACATGATAGGAACTCCAGGGATCTTCTGGATTCTCTGCTTAAGGTCCTGGTCAACCATGGTGACAATGTAACACTTGTGCTGAGTTACTCTGCACTAAGCAGTCATCTGCATAGGTCCCTTTATGTGTGCAAGGTAATCATTCAAATAGTGGATCCTTAGCAATCCTTAGAGCCACTTGATACTTCTGTCCCAATTTTTCAATTTCAGCCATTACACAATCAGTTATAAAAGGAATACACTTGGCATACAGACAGTCCATCATCAATTGTACTAAGTCCAATTTGGCTTTGATGGAAAAGTTGATAAAGTTGGTATCAACCAGTATATGATAAGGTGGGCCTGGCTGTGTATTATATTGGAAGAATAAGCAGGAAGGATGTTGGGGGACTTCTCTTTCCTTTAGAGCACTGGGATCTTTTCTTTCTTTTTAGATTTTAATCTATCCTTTTCTTTGAGTCTCTCATCTCTTGAGACTAAACATTCGCTTCATGGTCGCATACTTCCTTGCTTGCTTTTGTTTCCCCATGTTCACGCCAAACTCTAGTTTCTTCTCTTGTTTTTAAATTACCTAGTTTACAGTATTTTGTGATAGCAATCCAAATAGACTGAAACAGAGAGAGAACTTAATTCTTTTACATAAATGTAGGTAATCCATAGACTATTCCTCTGTATCCTGTAATTGAAAACAAATAATGATATATAATTAGGAAAGTTTTCATAGCCAAATAAAAGTTATATTTTTGGATTATTGTACCTTTCATTTGGTATAGGTAAAATGATATAGTAATAATACAAATTAATTCCATTAAATTCCCATAATGTTTTATTTGTTCAATAAACTCCAACTAGTAGAGTTATGTTAGTTTAGTGGAAAAGTACTAGCTGAGTTCAATTACTGGTACTTTTTAGATATGGTCAGGCAAAGTCCCTGAGGAGGTACCATTTAAATGGAGCCCTAAAGCATGACCAGGATTAGTGGGAAGGCATTGGTAGCCATTCAAGAGTACAGGAAAGAGGGGCCAGGGATTTAGCTCAGTGGTTTTGCTGCCTGCTGTGCAAGTGCAAGGACCCGAGTTCGATCCCTGGTACCAAAAAAAAAAAAGTACAGGAAAGAATATTGATAATTTTCTTTCTTGTCTCTTCTTTTTCATAAAATAATTACAGAACTCCTAAGAACAAGACAGATTAAAATGAATATAATAGGCCAGGGATTTAGCTCAGTGGCACCGCGCCTCTCTCACAAGCACAAGGCCCTGAGTCTGATCCCTGGTACCAAAAAATAAAAAAATGAAAAATAAATAAAATGAATATAACATATGTCTTAGGCACTTCTTTTGTCACTGGGACAAAATACCCGACATCCACAATTTAAAGGAGGACAGGTTTATTTTGGCTCACACTTTTTAGAAATTTTAATCCTTTTGTGGTTGACAGCATGATGGAAGGCTATTGAAGGAGGAAAGCTGCTTATGTTGAGGTAGCCAGAAAGCAGAGAATCAAGGGAGGAGCTGGAAAAGGAGATATATCCTTCCGGGTCACACCCACAGTGACCTGACTCTTTCACCCAAACCCCATCTCCTAACAGCAAGTCAGCTATCACACAAACACATGAGGTTTTGAAGGCCATTTAAGACCTGAACCATAACTACATAGATCTATCCCCAAGAATTAGTTCAGTGTGTAAATAATTATAATAATAATGACCTACATGAGTTTATTCCCTATTTTAAGCCTGACTAAGCCATTTATGAGTGCAGATAACCTTAAGAATTGTCTAGCCAGGCGTGGTGGCACATGCCTGTAATCCCAGTACTTGGGAGGCTGAGGCAGGAGGATTGATGGGAGTTCAAGGCCAGCCTAGCCTGTGAGACCCTGTCTCAAAAACAAAAAGAAAACCCGTCTAGCATGGTAGAAGATTCAGATTTATACATAAGTTGACAGCAAAAGAGTATGCTTAACCTTTTTATAGATTATATATATGATACTGTGGTGACAGAAAAAGGTAGTGATCAATTATTTTTGGAAGAAGGGCTGCAAAATGTTTCATAAAAGAGATGCTTGGAGCAGGGTATAGTGGCTCATTTGTGTAATCCCAGAATTGGGAAGCTCAGGTAGGAGGATTACAAGTTCTAGCCCAGCTTGGGCAACTTAACAATTTAGGTAGACCTTGTCTCAAAATAAAAATAAACCAGGCCTACTGGTGCACTCTTATATCTCAACACTCTGGGAGGCAGGAGGATCACAAGTTTGAGCCCAGGCTGTGCAATTTAGTGATTTAGTGAGACCCTGTCTCAAAAAAGAGAAGAGATACTTGATTTTGACCTTAAAAGTGAGTAAAAATCTCCCTGGAACTTCATCTCATTCTATGATGTTAACTGCCACAGATCTATATGCTGGGAGGACCAGTTTTAAACTTCTGCTCGCAAGCTTGCTTTAAATTCCAGATCCATATTTCTCTTTGCTGGATTTTCTGCACCTTTAATTTTCTACACCTTTGCTGGACTTTCAACACCTTTAATACTACATAGTACTCTGAATGCACTCTGTCCAAAATGAAACTACTGTATCTTCTAATAGTCTTCCTTCCAATTTCCATGTAGAACTCTATATGTCATTTCTATTGATTGACTGATCCCAGGGCTTCACATATGCTAGGCAGGTACTGTATCACTGAGCTGTAGCCTCAGTTCGTTTTATTTTGAGACAGGGTCATAAGTTGCACAAGCTGGGCTCAAACTTGTGATCTTGCCTCAGCTCCTCAGCAGCTATGATGACAAGGCATTTGCCATGACTCCCAGGACATTGTTTCCATTTATTTATTTGCTTCTATCCCTCCATCCCTCCATCCATCCCTCCCTCCTTTCTTTCTGAAACAGGATCTTACTATGTAATCCAGGCTAGCCTTGAATTCACTATGTAGCCCAGGCTGGCCTCAAACTTGTGATCCTCCTTCTTCAGCATCCCAAGTGTTGGG